CCATCGCCCAGCTTACTCTGCCCGACTACCCTATAGAGCAATACAATGGAGTAATGAGTCAATGTCCAAGCCCGTAGGCCACACCAACACAGAATGGAGAAGAAGACAATGCCCACTCTTGCTTCGGGCTCCCTCCTCACTCGCCACCTCAATAATCAATAGTCCGAACACAAATCTGAAGTTCTATCTCAATGTGCCACGTGGCACGTCAATCAGTCCTCATCAGCGAGCTGGAGCAATGTCGACATCGAAATAACCAGGTACGTATCTACGATCGCCCCACAGTCATGATCTCCTCCCGAGTGACGATGAATAAAAACAACAATACCAGTCACGTAGCCTCGCCACGTCAGCAACAATATACGTGGCAGCAGCCACGTCAGCGGCGGCGCGTGGCAGCTGCCACGTCAGCATGCCCAGAAGACAATTGCCAGCCAGCCACCATGTCGAGCCAGCATCACGTTGCCGTAGTCGTCCAAATGCCAGCATAGAGCCAGCGTCCAGCCAGCGTCGCAGCGTCGCGCTAGCGTCGTATTCAATGCGTGAAGTCAACATTGACGCAAGACCGAATGTTTTTCAAGCCAAGAGGTCCAGGCTTATGTAGCATTGATGCGGGGTTTGGACCCCGGTTGCTGCTTCCCTCGGCCGTCAAGATCTCAAGGCAAATGACGGCCCAGATAGGCCTGAAACCGAACTCCATGTGGCCTTGATATTGTTTGGGTACCTGCGCACAACAAGTGAGTGTATCCGACCAAGGGCCTGGGCGTGGTACCTTTGACAGTTGACTTAGACTGTTGACTTTCCCAGGGCAGTGCGTGGTCACACTGCCTGGCATAGGCCAAGTTCGGCCTGTGTTGTCTGGGCTCCGTTCTAGGCCCAGATTTGCTGCAGAACACGGTTTACTCCATTCCTGCCGACCCATTTTCGAGCCATCGCGGAAATAACTAAGACTTTAACCCACGTTCATATGCAGATACAATATTAGGAGCAGTTTCAAGTAATTCTCGTTTACTAAACCATCTATCCTCAGATGGTGCCTGAGATTTGAAACGTACCTTGGACTGCTTCTGGGGTCGTCCACGTCCACCTGTAGAGAAACACCCATGCTCTATGATTCTGTCTACTTCATATCCGCCTTCCATGTCTGGCGGAATCATAGATGGTCTGCTTGGGAACTCATTTCCTTCTACATAGGGTAACAATTTGGACGCGTGAAAGACAGGATACATTTTGAGGTGAGGGAGAATATCAATTCGATAAGACGGTCCCTCTGCATCCCCACTTCCCAGGGTCCAAAATAGACAGACAGAAGTTTCTGAGATATATTTTCTTCCAACGGAAACTCTTTCGACTTGACCCAAACTAGATCACCTTCCTTGAATGTTGATGGTTGGTGATGCTTATTAGCTTGTTCAATCATCTGGTCTCGAACTTTCTTCAAATTGTTCTTCTCTTTCTTAATGTCTTCTTGAAACAATACCGCATACTCCCAAGTCCCTAGAGGTAACCTAAGACACTGGTCTCGTGTTAACACATCAATGGGACGCTTAGGTTTCCACCCCTTGTGCAGTGCATTAGGTGTGCGCCCTGTAGCGGTATGAACACTAGTGTTGTATGCACTTGCTATCTTGGGTAAGTTCTTGTCCCAATCAATCTGATCGGGTCTTACATACATACGCAAAAGTTCGTGACACAAACGGTTCATCTGTTCACTTTGTCCATTCGTTTCAGGGTGTCGCCCTGACGACATGGTCAATCGTGTACCGTATGCTTCCATGAGTTTTTGCCATGGCATGCTTGTGAACCTGGCATTACGATCAAATACAATAGAGAGAGGAAAACCATACTCAGTAAACCATCGCATCTGAAACTTTTGTATGACAAGTTTTGTTCGCGCTTCTGCGGGTAAGGGAATAAACATGGCATATTTAGAGAAACGATCCACAATAACCATTACTTGACTATTGTCGTTTCGACTTTTGGTGAGACTCATAAAATCAATCGAGATAGACTCACCTGGTTCGCTAGGAATCAGTAATGGTTTCAGAAGACCAAGTGAATTCTCATGTGAAGGTTTGTTTCTCTGACACACCAGACATGTACGAACATAAGTTAGTATGTCTTCCTTCAATCCCTTCCAGTCAAAGCGTTCTCTAATCTCAGCGTAAGTTTTCTTGAAACCAAAATGTCCTTCAATGTCGTGACATTCCCCAATCAACAGACTTTTAAGTTTTTCTTTGTGAGGAATACACAATCTCTGTTCCATTTGGTCTAACAAGAAAAGCAAACCATCGACTATTCGATAGTTGGGAAGTAAGGTTGGGTCTTTCGCAAGGATATCCATGATAGGTTTCCAGATAGGGTCAGTAGCACATCCTTGACGAATTTTATCTTTTAAATCATTCCCAACATCCAAATAAGAGACAATAGCACCAAAGAAATCACATCGTCTGGACAAGGCATTTGCAACCACATTAGACTTACATTTGATAGTTTTCAACTCAAAATTAAAAGTATCAATGAATGCAGACCATCGTACTAACTTATCAGAGAGTCTAGGCTGTGTCTTTATCCACTTCAGTGTCGAGTGGTCTGAGTACACAGTGAAGTGTCTCCCTAACAAGTGGTGTTTCCATGTGTCCAACGCACAAACTAAGGCATACAATTTTCTTTCATAAGTGGACTTGGCAACTTTTTTCGATGGCAATCGTGCAGACATAAGCTCAATTGGTCTATAACCATTGTCGTCGTTCTGTTGAAGGACTGCGCCAATTTCGTACTGACTTGGATCAGTAGTGACAATGAAGGGAAGTGGTGGATCAACAATTTTCAAAACAGGATAGTGAGTCAAGGCATACTTTATCTTCTTAAAGGAAGACTCGCAGTCCTTGTCCCACAACCAAATAGTTCCTTTCTTCAACAATCTTCTCATTGGTGCGGCGATCAGTGAGAAGTTCCTTACGAACTTTCTATAATAACTTGCCAAACCAAGGAAAGATCGTAGTTCAGTTACAGACTTAGGTCGTGGCCAATCTCGAATTGTTGATATCTTCTTTTCTTCCGGTCTGAGGCCTTCTTCGTTCACTATATGTCCTAAGTATAGGACTTCAGACTTAGCGAACTCAGACTTCTTTGGATTTATCTTGAAGTTGCCCTCTCGCAACTTCTCTAGTACTAGACGGAGATGTTTCTCGTGGTCCTCTAATGTTTTACTATACACGAGAATATCATCAAGATAGATAATAACGAATTGATCCAACCATTGACGAAACAATTCATTCATTGACCGTTGGAACGTCGCAGGGGCATTTGTCAATCTGAAAGGCATTACCATAAACTCGTAATGGTCATACCTTGTCCGAAATGCAGTCTTGTGTTGATCCGCGGGTTCCACCTCGATCTGATGGTACCCAGACTTTCGATCAATCTTACTGAAATACTTACAACCCTGCAATTGATCAAGTAAGTCGTCAATACGAGGAAACAGTTCGGCGTTCTTGACACTGACGACATTCAACCCTCGATAGTCAATGCAAAAACGTAGTTCACCTTCCTTCTTGGGTACAAACAAGACAGGTGCACCATAGGGAGATGAGCTAGGGTGAATTCATCCCTTGCCAGTAAGGTCCTGCAGTTGTTTCTTTAATTCCTCAAGTTCCCTGGGAGACATTCAGTAGATAGGGCCCTTGGGAATCTTACTACTCGGAATGATTTCAATGGTGTGCTTAATAGCACGTTCCGTGATTCCGGAAGGTTCAGTCTGCAGATCCTTAAACTCAGAGAGAAGACTTTCAGTAGTTGGAGGGCAGGAAGAAAAAGACTCACCGACTTTCTTTACTAACACCATCATAACTTCTTGTTCCAACTTTTTCTTTGAAACCATCGAACGAAAAGTTGGATAACTCATACAACAAAAAAACAAACTAGAGTCAGAGTCAGACTTGTGATATAACTTAATAGGTTTCAGGTTATATTGTGCATCCTTAAGTTGCACAACCTTGCCTTTGAAATCTATATCTGGGTTGGCTTCCTCGTGCCAGTCCATACCCAGAATAAGATCAAAAGGCAAATTCTTCTCAACGTTGAAGGATAACTCATGCATAATCTTTTTTCCTTCCCTAGTTATAAACTGACACTTAATACAATCGACATACTGTGAGACAGTGATCGTACGCTTGTCTGCTAACATAGACCTGATAGGTCGAGACGAGTCTTTTACCTTCATTCCGAGATGCAACTTGCGGATTGCTTTCTCGGATATGTAGGACCTCGTCGATCCGGGGTCCAACAACGCACCCACTTGTGTTTGTGCGATTTCTATATCCACAAACAACAATTCGCACTTAGACTTCGCTTTTCGCGCCCATGAGCTACGTAAGGCTAGCAATTCATTACCTAGCTCATCAAGGGAGTCATCCAGAGAGACAGAACATAAGACAATGTCAGGGCGGTCCGGATGGTGGGCTAAGGAAGAATCATCCTTTGCCATATGAGAAGAAGGGTAGGAAGGGTTCGTATGCGCCTCACCTATCTGTTCGTCCTTACCCTTTATCTCAGTAGGAGCTGATGCTACTCCTACTAGCTGCTCGCTTTTGGGTCTCGAATCAATGGGCAGAATGCGATCACATGTCCCAGAGTGCCGCATTTAAGACATTGCGCATTATTCATGCGCTCCTGCCAAGTCTCACGAGTCAACCCCATCTTTAACCAGGCAATGTCGGGATGCACTGGGAATGAGCGCGGTCTCTTCCTTATCGAATTTCTGGGTGGCCCTCCCTTGGTGTCCACAGCAACAATGACTTCCCCCTTCCCAGAGTCACTGTTGCTATCCTTCTCATTTCCATCTTCCCTGGGCCACTTTTCCACTGTGTCATCATCGAAGACGACGAGGATGTGGTCCTGGCGCTTTTGTCGCCAGAGAATTCGTTTCCCTCCGTCATACATCTTTCCTTCCCCTCCTCCAAATTTGACTACCGCTGCATAGGAGTTTTTGACTTGAGAAGTCATTTGCTCCCTTTGCAGAGCGAGGTCTCAAAATTGCCTATAGTTGTACTTACCTGACTTTGCTTCGGCAACCGGGTATCCCCGGATGGGCTCAGGCAACGCGCGGGAGTAGATGTACAACACTTGGCTGTCTTGCAGGTTCAATCCTAAAACCTGCAGCAATCGGTCGACTTCGCGGGACAAAGCCTCGACCGACGTCCAATGCTTTTGACCAATCAACGTTAATTGGTCAAACACCTTATCGGTCGTCGTCTTATCGAGAAAACGGTCCTTGATCTTGGCCAATAACTGTTTCAGCGTCAATGTCTTGGCCCACTTAGCGATGTCGTCAAACCCGGCAGCGTTAGCCTTGGCTAACACCCATTGCTTGGCCTCACCTCCCATGCAAGAGGTGTTGAACGTCACTTGGGACTCTGGCTCAACCAGAGCGGTAAATACGTATGTTTGGATTTCGGCAATCCAAAGCAACAGACTCTTGTCTTTCTTATTACGAAACGTAAAAGGCAACTTCATCTTCACTCTTTCTTTCTTCTTTGGCTTCTCCGGTTCTGCAATAGTCTTGTCCGGAGTTGTCGAAGAAGGAGACTTGGAAGAAGGAGACGAGTGAGAGGAGTTAGATGGAGAAGACGGTGGATTCGATGGTCCATTCCCATTGGTCGAAGTCTTAATTCTGGGACCAGCAGACTTGATGGCATCTCCCATCAACTTCTTCACTTCTTTCTTATCTTCTTTTTCTTCTCGTCTATTTTCTTCCTTACCTTCTACATGGTGCTTTTCTTTCACAATGTTTGTGATTGTTCTTAGTCCTAACTGAGTTTGCTGCCTGTCGATTTTCTCCTCCAGAAAGGTAACGTAAGTCATAATATGAGACATCATATGAGACATGTCTGCTTGTTCTCCAGTTTCTGTCCCAATCACTTGTCTGATCTCCTTAACTTTCCGTTCTCTTCTCTGTTCCTGTTCTCTTCTTCTAGCCGGTTCTTTTTTCTTTCTTTCTTCTGCAACCAAAGTTTCTTTCAACTGCTGGATGTTTGCATCAATCGTAGCCTCGGTTACTTCTGGCTTAGTCTCGCCTTTAAGAGTCAATTCCATTAGTTCTTCCAGCTGTTCCAAGGCAAACTGATCCAGCGCCTGACGACACTGGGCAACCAGTTTGGAGACTTCGGTCCCGGCTGCCGCAACCTTCACAGCTGTGATAGATTTCTTCAGACCGTTTTCAGCCGTCTGCAAATCAAATCTATCATGGATGTGTTGTTCAGCATCCGGTCCGGATCGATGTATTTCGGTCAACAGTTGGTTCCACAAGGCCAACAGTTCCTATTTCCTATTCTCAACCTGCGTCCGAGTCTTAGGCTCAGACGGCCATCGCCCACGGAGAGCGTGATCGGTATAGGAAACAAGAATGTGGTCACGAACCTCGTCAGAATAGACTTTTGCAAACATTTCCAAAAGTGGGACATTTTCAGAGGACAGAAACAAGAAAATTTGTCGGCCAGGTTGCTCTACCGCAACATAAATAAAAGAGACAATAATTTAACAGTCACCCGAACCAAATTCACACTGCCTGAACAGAAAGATTTAACAAGGAACATAAATTTTCCTAGTTCTGGTTGCTGTTCTATTTCAATGTGATGACGTTCTATTCTATTTCAGGTACCGCGACTCAAGCCAGCATGATCATCAACACACACAAGTAAGTACACAGACACACATCACAGCACAAGACAACAGGTAAGTCCGCCAACATAAAAAATCACAACAATAGTTAGCGTTCTTCCCCTGCTGCTGCTTCTTCTTCGGCCCTGTGTGATCAGCACCCAATCTGACGTCTGGCACCACAACCACGTTAGTCTTCCAGCCGTGCCGCTTCAGTCATCATAATGGAACTCTTACTTAGGCACAACCGTGTCTGCCACGTGTCACCCCTGGCATGCCAACTCAGCAACTCGAAGAGTATGCCACGTCAGCATGTACAGTCAAAGTCATCAATGGGGCGCACGTCAGCAATGTGCGTCGATATCGTCGTCGAGTAAGTCACCTTCTTGCCTGCCATGTGTATCCCCTGGTGTGCCAACACAGCAGCGCTTGAGTCTGCCACGTCAACACTATAGTCCAATCAACATCATCAGTGGGGTACACGTCAGGAGCAACATCAGCGCGCCGTACAATGCCACGTCAGCCAGGTAATGGAGTGCCAGTGTGCCACATCAGACAATGCCACGCCAACCTGAAGCTACTCACCACAGTAGACGAGTGGTGAGTCAGCATTGCCACGTCAACACTCCTCCACAACCACCGGCCACGTCAGCAGTGCATCCCGATCGCAGATGCAATCGATCGGGATCTGGATAGCAGCGCGTTCCTTGCTGGATTTTCCCCTGTCGGGATACCAATGCCACGTCAGCACCTGACGTGCACAATTCCAGTCTTATCCACGTCAAGCTCCTCGGTTGTAGGCGTCACCACTTCTTCGTCGTCGTTCTGTACAGGTCGTCGTCGTCAGTCACATCATCGGAAGTACAACTCTGATACCAAATTGCAATGAACCCAGATCGTGAAGACACTTGTCAACAATGCAAGCCCAGATAGATATCAACCTGCTGATGATTGCCAATAATCATAATCGTGTCCAGATAGAATGAGATGGGGGAAACATACACAGACGAAAGAGAGAGAAGGGAGAAAAGACTTAGAATGGAGAAGAAGATAATGCCCACTCGCTCACCACCTCAATAATCAATAGTCCGAACACAAATCTGAAGTTCTATCTCAATGTGCCACGTGGCACGCCAATCAGTCCTCATTAGCGAGCTGGAGCAATGTCGACGTCGAAATAACCAGGTACGTATCTATGATCGCCCCACAATCATGATCTCCTCCCGAGTGACGATGAATCAGAACAGCAATACCAGTCACGTAGCCTTGCCACGTCAGCAACAGTATACGTGGCAGCGGCCACGTCAGCGGCGGCGCATGGCAGCTGCCACGTCAGCATGCCCAGAAGACAATTGCCAGCCAGCCACCATGCCGAGCCAGCAGTGCGTCGCCGTAGTTGTCCAAATGCCAGCAGAGAGCCAGCGTCCAGCCAGCGTCGCAGCGTCGCGCTAGCGTCGTATTCAATGCGTGAAGTCAGCATTGACGCAAGACCAAATGTTTTTCAAGCCAAGAGGTCCAGGCTTATGTAGCCTTGATGCGGGGTCTGGACCCCGGTTGCTGCTTCCCTCGGTCGTCGAGATCTCAAGGCAAATGACGGCCCAGATAGGCCTGAAACCGAACTCCCTGTGGCCTTGATGCTGTCTGGGTACCTGCGCACAAGAAGTGAGTGTATCCGACCAAGGGCCTGGGTGTGGTACCTTTGACAGTTGACTTAGACTGTTGACTTTCCCAGGGCAGTGCGTGTTCACACTGCCTGGCACAGGCCGAGTTCGGCCTGTGTTGTCTGGGCTCCGTTCTAGGCCCAGACTTGCTGCAGAACACGGGTTACTGCAGATGCTGCGTGTGGCGTGGCTGGAAGCTTCCAGTAGCTTCCAGTTGGGTCCCAGACCCTGCGCCCAGGCCCGAGACTACAGTTGAGGGCCTGGGCCCTTTGCAGTTAGGCACGGCCTGAGTCTCCAGACTTGGGCTCTTTGGTGCATCTGTGCAGGGCTCCCAGGCAGATGCGTCGGCACTACTGCTTTTGTAAAGGCCGATGGCCTGCTTCCCAATGTATCGGCCATGCTTTGTGTATGTGTGCCCAGGCGCAACTGTCAAGGCCTGGGCCAACTGTATGACGCAGCAATGTTAGGCTCACGCGTCTACCCAAACCAACTGGTGTGCTGCGAGAGCCTCAATACCCACATCTGGAAATGTCGAATTTTGCCTTTGACGAATATTCAGGCCCGCCTTCACTTAGGGCGGGCACTTCGCTTGCTGGAAGCCTTAGCCCAGAACAATGTGATGTCTGATAGGGCCCCTTGAGGGCTTGTTCCTCACACCTAACTGACAAATCGAAATTTTTTTGTGTCCTTCGGATTTCTTCCTGTCAGTGCAATTTTTTTTTTTTTTTTTTTTTTTTTAATAGAATGGACCTGGCTCCTTCTATTCTGGGGAGCGTCAGTCCGGTTCCTATTCCACCGGCAAGTCGCAGTATAATGCAATACACATTAACAACACACGCTTCCTCCCGTCCGGCCGGAGGACCCCTGAACAGCATTGATTACTCCACCCTTGGTGGCGGATTGACTGTCAGCTTGCCTTGAGTCTCTCTTCCCTCTCAGACCTGCCCTAACAACTCTGCCAGAAAATCCCTGATAAACCTAGGAAGAGATCTTCCTTTGCTGCTGAATGTCCTGCCTGCCCCCCATAATCAATCCCACCCTAAAATGCTGTGTTCTCTCCTACTTCCCTAAGCCCCTTCCCCTACATATCAAATGTTGAAAAACCTCAAACCCTACACCCTAAACCCCGCTCTTCCTTAGATGTGCAAGGAAGATGAGCATTAGCGAACTTTGGCAATCAAACAGCATCATACATATGAGCCCAGATAGTCTTGACCTCGAACCACAGCAGACTGGCATCACGAGATACACCAAATAAGAACACACCAAGAGTTCAAAATTGACAATGCTGAAGTAGTCCCATCATCATCAACTACGAACCAGAGTTGATATCCTATTGGCGCTCGGCGCCCAGACTACAGGTGGCAGATCCTATCCAGCCTATACTACGAAGCAGAATGATGACATCAACAGCGTTCCCGAAGTACGAGCATATGGCGA